ATTAATGGACAAAAGCAATTAGGTTTAGATCATGATTCATTATGGTCTGAAGTGTATGTGGCTGATCTCTTAGCACTGGCTAATGGTGGGTTAACTTGTGTTTTTACATACTCTTGTTGCAAGCTGTATCTGGGTCTGTAGGTTGTTTCTGCACAGGGAGACCGAAGGCCCGATGAATACAGCAAAGAGTAGGATTCTGGTTTTCTGAACAATTTAGGGTGAGGAAATCACAATCTTTTGGTTTTGTTTTTCAAGCTGGGGGCAAAAAAAGGCCTTGGAGCCCAGAAAGTGAGCAGCCAGAGCTTCAGCGAGATCGAGCGGCAAGCGCAGGTGGCAGAGCAGCTGAGGGAGCAGCAGGCAGTGGAGTCCAGGAAGCAAGCTGAGGAGTCCATGTAAGTGCCCTGTTTGGGCTGAATACCTTGCACACATAAGGCAGAATGTGAGGTTGATGCTGTTCACCCTAGGACCACCTAATGTGAGTACAGAACATGCTGCCTGGTAGGATGAGTGGTAGCTGTAAGCCAATATGGTCCTTATGGCAGGGCTCAAGTTACATTGCCATGTTTTATTCAAATTAGCATCCCTAGAGGAGTTCAAGGAGCAGATATGGAAGATTTGTGTTTGTTGACCTTTAGATATGACTGAAAAAGGCAAAGCTGAACTGGACAGGGCATTCTGTCAGGAGTGTTGGGGGGAGTCAGTGCTTACACTAAGCCTAGTAAGACTTGAATCCCAGCAGAGGTGGGATGGGAAGACAAGAAGTAGCTTCTCTGTAAGGATTTATGGCAAAGCTGTTATGGGAGTGGGTGTTTTGATGGGTTGTCAAGGTTACCCTCCCCCTTGAACAACATGGGCTGAGGGGGAGGGTGATGAGCTGATCCCCACCTTAGCTCTTTCCTTTAGAGTCACCTCGATGCGACTGGCTTATCAGGAACTGCAGCTCGATCGGAAGAAGGAAGAGAAGAAACTTCAGAACCTGGAAGGGAAGAAACGTGAACAAGCAGAGAGGCTGGGCATGGGCTTGCCGTCAAGGAGGTATTTAATTGTGCGTGGCATAGAACAGACAGGTGCCTTGGAAGCATCCTGTTCTGGAAGAGTTTTCTGAAGGCAGTAGCTTGCTGCTCTTACCAGATAAGGAGCTGGTTTAAAGTCCTCATATGCTGGACTATGTCTCAAAACGCTTCAGGCCCCAGAAGAAACAGGCACTCTGAGGTTCTAGTTCTTGTTTGAGCTTTTCCAAAGATGCCTGTGGTCTGTCCTTGTCTAGCTGTAGAGCCCTGTCCCCCTGCAGAATACTTCCCCCAAGAAGGTATCTCAAGACTTCTGAGGGAGTGGGATTAAGCTAGGTAAGTGGTGAAGGGGGCTGCCATCCCATAGCTCTCCCTTGAGACTTGGGGCACGTGCCCTCCTGTGAAGGCCAGATTGAGTTTTAGGGTTGTAGGGTGACTGTAGGGGCTGGATGCTGTTGGAGCCACGGCCCTGACTGCCTGTCTATTGTGCTAGTTCTGTGTCACACTCGGTGATGTCTGAGATGCAAGTAATTGAGCAGGAGACACCGCTGGTTGCAAAATCTTCCCGCTCCCAATTGGACTTGTTTGAAGATGCTGGAAGCTTCACATCTGGACCCCCCAAGTAAGACTTGACTTCAGTGTAGTATTTGGTTTATTCCTGAATTTAATGTCTGGCCTAAATTACCTTTTTTTTGGTACCTAGATACAAATATAGTCCCTTCTCATTCGAAGATGCATTTGGCTCACGATGGGAAACAGACTCTTCATGGGGTATGGACAAAGAGGAGGAACCCGAGGTGACCATTTCTAGTATTCGGCCTATTTCAGAGAGGTAAAATGCCTGCCCCTGCTACTATACCTTGCTTGTGCATGGGACAAAGGGATGGGACTAGGACCTGTGGGGAGAGATGCTGCTGTGTGATGACAGGAGGCTTGTGCTCCGAAAGACAACTTGCATGGACAAGCCCAAGAAAAAGGGCTTGGGTGAAAGGGGCTTTGAGTGAAAGGGGCACTTACTTGCTTGTCATGAGACAGCCTTTATGGTCATCAAGTGCTGGCTGTCCTGAGGTGAGGTGTGGAGAACCCTGATGGTAGCCACACCTGAGGATTTGTTGCTTTCTTTTGGTCAGCTGGGGTCTGAGAGAGAAGTCTGTTTCTTTACTGTGTTGGTGAGCTGAAGCTGGATGTCTCCTCTCTTGTTTGCTCAGACCCACCAGTAGGCGGGAGCCAGAGAACAGGACATTCGTTGTGGAATCCAATGAAGCTCGGCAGAAGTTTGCAGGGGCTAAAGCCATCTCTTCGGATATGTTCTTCGGGCGGGAGGCAGATGCTGAGGTAGATGCATTCTGCAGTGCTTAAGCTGGCACGGCTCTGGCTTCATCTCCTCCTGTTTGCTCAGGTCTTACTTCATTCCCTTCCTTTATAACTATTTGGTTTTGTTTTCTGCTGCAGTATGAAGCCAGATCCCGACTGCAGCAGCTCTCGGGCAGCAGCGCCATCAGCTCTGCAGACCTCTTTGGAGAGGCTGAGAATGTGCACTCAGGTTTGTTATCACTCAGTGGACTGAGGAAGGGAGCGGGTTTGGAGGACCTGGACTGGAAGGGGTCAGGATGCTCTTTGGAGCTAGGGGACTCTGGGCTAACTGCTGCTGGTTCTCGTAGGTGGTGTGTCCATTGGAAATGTCCTGCCTGCAGCTGACATTGCACAGTTCAAGCAAGGAGTGAAATCTGTTGCTGGCAAGATGGCTGTCCTAGCCAATGGGGTGATGAACTCTCTCCAGGTGAGCTTACACCGTGGCACCTTCAGACAGGCCGTAGTCACGCTCAGAGGCTCTCATAATATCTCACAGTATGGCTTCTGGAGTTATCTTCTCAAATCATGTGCAAAGCCCCACATAGAGGCCTCTCTTTTATAGCTGATCACTACACTACAACAGCTGAGCAATTCCACTTGGCCAGCCATAACACTCCTGCTGGACAGGACACCTTGTTGTGTCAGATATGCTTTTTCCCCCACAAATCCCAGGCTGAACTTAAGAAGTTGGGTGTTGGAGCGACATGATCATAAAGTTCTTTCCAACCCTAAATATCCTATGATTCTATGATTTTACTTCCTGCCTTTGCATGGCATCCTGTCTAGACCTTGTGATAACTTGTCTCTGGACTCTGCATGAAGTTTGTAGCATGGTGTCTTGGTGTGTTTCCTCCCCAGGATCGTTATGGCTCATATTGATGACCCAGGGACTGCAACTCAAAGAGAAGCCAGGAAGAGGCACTGATGCCACCTTTGCCTGGAGTAAACGCTGCAGGATTGTCTTAGTTTGTCTGGGTTGGGTGGGGAGGGGGCCAGGACATGGCTGTGCCCAGGGTGCTTTCCAAATATCTCTGGATTCCACTCTATTAAAATTCAGTGTGCCCTCACACCCACTGCTACCTACTAGCCAGTGGAGACAGGCCTTCTTACAGGGTTAAACCTTGCTGCTGTACAAGACAGGACAGGAGCTCCGGGGTTGCCCCCATCAGTGCTCCTGTCTGTCTTGGCCTATACCTTAGCTCACTCAGTGGCAGAGAGAAGGGGAATGCTGTTTCTCTAAACATCGTGTTACCTGGGTGCTGTGGACATGACTGTTTTTGTTCTGCTCAGTGCTCCCATTCCATGGTGCTGTGGAGTCCTCTCTATTTGCAGGGTCTCACTTTGACCATGGGATAATCCTTTCTACTGTCTTCTAAACCAGCATATACTGATGCATGAGAAAAAAAAATCAAAGCAAAGATTATTTTTTTAGCTTCTAATTACATCATGAGTGAAAAAGGCCCAGGTAAAGAAGTTCTGTAACGATATTTGCTGGAGCCCTGGTTATTTTGTTGCTCAGTTTGAGCCGAGGTCAAAGTCCCGAGCCCTGATTTCACCATGAGGTGAACTGCAGGGCAGCAGTGAGGGAGGGCTCCTTTTAGTCCTGCTTTTACTAAGAGTGTGTTGTTCCTCTTCCTTGGATTGTGGGGTTGAGGAGGGGCTGCTGTACCGCCGAGCCAGCACGGGGAGGGACGTGAAGGGTTTCTTGCTGTTCGAGCAGGTGTTTGGCCGGAGCAGGGACAGGACCGACCCTTCCAGTGTCTGCCCCATTGCCCTGTTAAGCTCACAGCCGTGGAGGAAAGAGTGCTTGCGTGGTACTGCGAGAGGGGTGCGTGTGTGGCCCATGTGCGGTGCGCCGCCTCTTGTGGCCGAATTGGGGTTACCGGTACCACCGCCCTGGGCCCCAGGTCTGCAGCGCCCCGCAGGGGGTCAGCGGCCTCACACTGTGCTTTATTGCCTGGCCAACACAGCCACGGAGGGTGCAAGAGGAAGCGCAGTCATTGAGCAGGGTAATAAATAACTTACAATAAATAAATCTCCCGTCCCGCGCCCTCCATAGCACGGCTGTGGTACAGATCCGCAGTAGCCTTAAAATAGCTGCAGTGTGTGTTGAATCCACCCAGCTGATGGCTGCCAGCTTTGGGGTACGGCTCCTGGTGGCCCATGTTGCAGTGTTGCAAGAACAGGAGGTGCGAGGAGGCTCCCACAGAACCAAGAGGAACCCAAGACCCCCAGGGAAGAGTGAGTCTGTGCAGGGTGAGACGCAGCAGCCATGCCAGAGCAAGTATTAGGGCTGTGGAGGCCAATCTGCTGCACTGGTTGCCATTAACATCCTGAGATTGCTTCTCTCTGTAGTTGTAAAGGGTTACATGCCACTATGTATAATCCTACAGTGCCAATATTGACAAAAAATACTTGGGGCTCATTTGAGAACTGTTTCCAGCTCCCCTCATGCTTCTGCCCACCCAGCACCAGCAGATGCTCTGCGTATTTGCACACCACACAACCTGGGGGCAAGGAATTGACTTTTCTGAGCCTCTTGTTTCCTCCACCCCCTATGAAGCTTGCTTTTCCAAATGACCTAAATATGCTATTCGAGGCTTCACAGTGGAGCAGAGGACACAGCACCATGCAGTACTTATTGCAGCCTAGCTTACTTGCTGTATTTGCTTTGGCAAGACTTGGATGCATGGAGAAGGAAGCAGAGAGAAGCGGCATGGCAATACCTAAGGCCTTTTCTAGGAGTTTCTCTACCTTTGATCACATGCAGGTGCAGCTTTACTGTGAATAATTATAACGGAGCAGGACTGCAGAGCTGCCACTGGTGATTTAACCCCTCTATTGTCTAGGCCAAGCCTGAGCACAGCTACACTACACTACACAACACAACACTGGCAAGCAGCCTGCACCGGCACTCCCACGGCTCCAGCAACTGGTGAACCTTGGGGAGAGCCCTGGTGCTTGCAAGCAGAGGCAGAGCTATCGGGTGCTGGTTTGTCTTGCCTGCCAGCAGAGGGGAGCAGAACCCTGCAGCTGGAAACAGCTCCTGCATGAGTGGAGCTAGGAAAAAGGCGGAGTTCCTGCGGGGATGAGACGGGTGGACCTGGTAAAGGGGACTGGCACAGCCACACACACACACACTGGTGGTGTGGACAGAACCCACGGTCAGAGCAGATGCTCTGGGGGGAGCTGCTGCTGCTCCAATGGGTTCTGGAGAAGCCAAGATGGGAATGGTGCCCACCCTCACAACCTTCAGTTCTCAGAGGAGTCTGTCTCTTCGTTGGAGCCTTCACTCTCAGCATCCATTTTTCGCCGATGGTGGAGAGGTTTCCAGGGACAGTTCAGCCGGGGTGAATTACGCACAGGCAAACTGGCCGTGTCCCCGCTGGAGCTGGGGGCACCAGAGACGGAGAGCCCTGAAACCTGAGCTACCCTGAAAGAGAAAAGACAAATGCTGGGCAGCATGACTTGTCATCCCCAACCCTCACCGCAGCAGGACTCATTCACAGCTCACACAGGGATGGAAAGATGCTCATGGCACTGAGGGGGAACACTTTGCACCAGTACCTACAAGATTTGCCATAGGATTCTTTTTTCCTGATTAAACAGATCTTTCTTCTGGGCTGAGCCTGTGTCCTCCAACACTCCTGGTTTTCACCATCCAAACAAAACTGCCCTTTTCATTAGAAGAGCCTGCTGCTTCCTCTAGATCACTCTTTGAGGCACACTTTCCCCCTCTGTTTCTGAAGCCTTTGTTAGCTGCACCAGAACACCCTAAAGAAAGAGTCCCTCTCTACTCAGGCTGTTGTGTTAGCTCCTCAATTGTTTTATAGTAGAGAAAGTGAATAGGGACAACAAAGTCTCCCTTAGCATGCTAACTAACTAATCTGTTGCTTTACCTCCTACTTTAGGCAATTTCACTTACAATTTGTCAAGTTCATGATCCATGGCAGGGTCCACAAACAAGTCTCCTTTATCTGGCAAAGCCCCTGGAGAAAAAAACAAGGAAAGTATCAGAGCAGAGTTAGGTTATAAAGAAAAGTGCTCAAGCCATAGCAGCATCCAAAATCTGCCCTGCAAGACAGAGAAGACTCTTCCTTATGCCTATTAGACAAATGGACACTGAATGTGGAGGATCATGGACAGCTAAGGAATGATGGATCTATATTCCATGTCCTTCACACAAGCTGTGGCTGAGCTCGTACTAAATGGGAGGCACTCTCAGTAGTCTCACCTCGGAGAACTTGAAGAGCCCTCAGGATTGGCAGTTTCCATTCACTGCACAAAACTACCGAGTACTGACTGTCAGGGAGATGACAGAATGTCAATTCAGGCCTCTGCTAATTGCACTGTATAGTCACCAGTCCCAGATCCTATCAGAGCAATAGATCTGTTGTTGTCTGTGCCACAGCCTGAAGCATGCACTGTACCACCCAGGGAGATGCATACTTCTGTGCCACCTGCCTTTCTTGTGGTGCACTGAGCTTGGGGATCAAAACACTCCACAGATGTAAGACTATTGCCTTCCTTGCAATTCAGGAAAGTCAGGCCTGACTCTGGTGTACATGGAGCCTTCAGGAGGAAGTGTGATGGACTGTGCTGTAGTGTTGCTCGCTGTCTGGGTGACAGCCTGAAAGACTGGGCCAGTAATCATGTACCCTTTCTTAGCATAAGGTCAGCACGCTCTTTTGCACATTCAAAACCCTACTCAGGATGAAGGACGAGGTGTAGGACTGGAACAGCTGGTTCACTGTCCTTGCCGTTCTCTGAAAAGACACTGACACCTCAGGAAGAGCATGGAAAGGAAGATGGGGCTCTTAGGAAAGCCCTCCTTCCTAACTCTGTAACAAACTCCACCTTGTACAGGGGTCGGAGGAGGGTGGGATGACAGGAATTGCTTACCATAGCCTGGATAGTGTCACTGCACACCAGGAGAGAAAACCCACTTGGTAATCTGTACCAACAGGGCAGTGAGGAGTGCTCTTGTTTGTCAGAAGACCTGGGTGCCACACTCAGTACCTTTGGCAAGGGGATTTGTACTCCCTGGGGGGACACAAACCTGGTTTCTGCCCCTGGCATGTTGCTCTTGAAGGACAGGCTGGAGAGTTGCTGCCTCACACAGACAAGCTGGCAGCAGTCACCAAAAACATAGCAATGAAGGGCCTGAAAATCAGAACCAGTTTAGCTCAGAACTGATTCCCCCAGGTCTTCCCCTCCTGCAGATGAACAGGGAAGCCTGGCACTGCAACACAGTGTCAGGAGGTCCAGTGAAGTGCCCCAGCCTGCTCTCTTTCATGGGCTCTATTAAAAGAATAAGCAGCTAAAGCCTGTTTCTGTGTTTGTAGAATGCACAGCGAGGTCTCCAGGGCACAAGAATTACACAAGTCAGTAAATAACCCTCAAAGGATTCACAAATCAACACTGACACTGGAGTTAGGCTGCGGATTCCAGTCTGCCTGACAAACACGTAAGCACTACTCCAGCCTGAATGAGCTGCTCTAATCCCTACCCCTGTTTCTCAAGGGGAGCTAGTGGTTTTGTGAGACCAGAGAGACAGCAGGCATCCTGACTGAAAGCTCCTTTACCTGAAACTGCCCTCACTGAAGGGTTCTGGGGAGCTTGTGGTCCCCTACAGCCCCAGAACTATTGAAATCACCCTTCAGGAGAATTAAAAGACACCAGGAAAAGAATCCTCTTCTCTGTGCCAAGATGCTAGCACCTGTCAGACTTGTGGCTGCTGCCCCTCCTCTGAGAGAGGCCTCAGCAGGAGATGGCAGAGGGCCAGGGGCCGGCCCCACATTATTGGCAATGAAAAGCCACACACTTCGTAGATGGCACAATGGAAGCTGTGGGCAGGATGTGTTTTTTTCTGCTCATTTGTTTCCTTTGCACTCAATCAGAAGTGGATTTCATAGGGCAAACGGGAAAAGAAAACCAAAAAGATTTTGCTTGCTGCAATCCAGGCATCACCTTCCCCAGTGAATACACAGCTTCCTAAGCCTGTTTGCAGAGGAGATTGCAGGGCTGTGTTCATGCACCTTTGATACATAATCTTCACGTTGCTGGGTAAGCAGCCCTGCCCCAGAGGAGCATTAGCAGCTTAAATGGTTTGCTGTAAGAAGGGGCTCAGCCAGGGAGGGGACACTTCTGCTCTATTATGACACACACACCTGTGCAAAAGAACAACCCTTGGGCAAGGTACACCTTTTCACTGAGGCTTGTTTTGTAATATAGGGACTGGCAGGGCCTCAAGACTACAAGCACAGGGAAAGGATTCCTACCCAAAGACAGAGACATCCTACTCTTACTGGCTAGATTATTTGCTGAATGGAGATGAGTGAAGATGAGTGTTTGGGCCTCCATACATTTAAACTTACCTCCTGGATACAGCCTTGTCAAACACAAAAAGCTGTTTCTGTTCCCCTTTGCAAGAGGAGGAAGAGCACAAGCAAGGCATATGGGACAATATGGAATTGTGAGTTTGAGTTGTGTATGGATTACATATTGTCTCTTGCCAATGCAACACATTGCTTCTATGCTCTAGAACAACTTTGACCAGCACAACATGGAAACAAGCAGTGAGATGCTGCTTGGGAATCCCTCTGGTTCCCCCAGCAGTCTGGTACAGAACTGTGTAGCAGTTTGTGTTTTATGATACCACCAGGTTTTCAGTGAGCCATAGATGAATATCCTAGTTAGATCACACTGCCTTGAGGGAAGATGGGGAAGAGCTGGGAAAGACTGGGCTTTCAGTCTTTGAACCAGGGAGGCAGCAGAGGTTTTCCCATTAGGTGTGCCTTCTATACTCATAGATGAGAGCAGTCTCTTAAAATCTATGGGAGAATAAAGGACTAAAACATAGGATGGGACTCCAGTTCAGTACTGTCCACAGCATCCACCATCTTACTCATCTCCTGACCCCCTCTGCCTCATCTTTATAGCCAAATGTTAAAATTTTCTGCTAAAATGATCAGCTACTGAAGAGGTAAACCATTGCTATCTTAGGGCAGCATTTCATATCTACTTTTGTCCTTGAAGAAGCTCCACGGCTTCAGGCGGACAGTAAAGGCACAGTGTTCTGTGTTAAAGTTTAATCCATCAACAAAAAGATGAAAAACTTCCCCTCCCTCTTCCTGCCAGTGTAAAATCTGGGGCACAATTACAGAGGAAACTCCCCAGAAATGCAGAATGACTGAAAATCAGGAGCTGTACCACTCACAGGAGTCTTACCTAGAGCTCTGTTGATCCCCTGATCCTTCACAAGTGCCATAAGGAATCCATAGAAGGTTAGTCTCTGTGCACCACCCAACATTTCCTTCACAAGAGCAGAAGGTGGACAGCTAGGAAAAGAGAGACAAAGAGGTCATCTTGTCTATTATCATCTTTTTTTGACCCAAGACCTGGCTCAAACCACAGAAATAAACTCTGTTTCCTGTTCTAACACTGTCAAGTTGCCCTGACTCAATTTAAAACAAAGAGCCACCAACTTGCTTATTTAGCATTGCATCTGCTCCCTGTTTTCCAAGCAAGATGTTTGAGCTGGGGTACATCCCTAGGAGTTGTCTTTCCTGTCTCCATTCCAAGAACAGGGAGAAAAGCCTAAATTCACTCAGAGGTATACACAGCCTGACTCTTAGCACGTTCTTTCATAAAGCAACTGGGAAATCCTTTCTTTTGTAAGACAATAAACTTTCATGAGGGTTGTTAGGTTGTTATTACCCTTTTACCAGCGACAGTCACCCAAGGGGCAGGAAAACCTCTCTGATGATAGCCTAAATATGTAAGAAAACAATATTTAGGTAGGGACTAAATGGACATGTCCCCTTCTTCTACACTCACCTTAACCTCTGGTCCTGATTTCTAAGCAGTATCATCAAAGTGGTTCTTGCTCTTGCCTAATACTTCTTAAAGGAATTCATGCAAAATCAATCTACCTCATGAAGAGGAAGTGTTGAACAGTCCATGTGGGCTGTGTTATTCATCAGGCAAAGGTGGTTATCAAAGCCTGGCTGAGTACTGAGCTACCGGATGAAAGGCTGGGAATGGCTCCCCTGACAGTGCTGTGCAGAGCCTGACCTATCAGATGGACTCACAGTGTCTCTCCCATCTGAAGCTATCAGGATATACAGCGAATATAGAACTTCTGTTATTTAAGAGAAGAAAACAACCTGGCATCTCCATGCTTAGTTATCTATAATACTGGGCAGCAGTTCAGCAGTAATTTTGTGGATCACAAATTTGGACTCAGGCACCTAAACCAGGATTCAGGAGGAACTTGTGTCCTGAGCCTTTTTGTGGACCTAACCCATGACTTTCTAGCAAGGCATGTGCTTGCTACCTGGAAGAAACTATGAAGAAAGAGTCAAAGCTATACAATAAGGCCTAGTATTGCTCCATCCCCTGCTGAACTAAGGCTAGTCTTGTGCCTGGGATCTGTAACTGGAGACTAGCTCTATCACAGGCTTGGGTACAGACCAGCAGTATGGTCTTGTCTAGGTATTAAGGCTTCGAACTCCATCCACCCCAGTGGGCCTTTCCTGTGCTTCAATACCAAGAATGCAACTGCACTTGTTTATCTCCCCTAGTTAACTCATGGTAGATGGCCCTATCCTTGACGAAAGTGTCAATGATGAAATGATAAGGAAAGCAGAGGCCCAGCTGAATCCATTACTTCGAGAATCAGCTCAAATCCCATGTTTTTTAGGTCCAGGAAATTGTTTCTCTCCTTTAGTTAAAGTGGTTCATGTGATCTCTCCCTTTATACTTCTCCATTGAGACGTATTTGGGAGTTACTGCTTGTTCAAAGTCCTGTATTTCATCAGAGCTCTAGCCTTACAAAGGTCTCCAGAGACAGAGACTTCAAATCTGTGTTTTGGACTCCATTCATACCTGTATTTTGATCTGTCACACAAGGACTCTAGGCACTGGTAGAACAGAGATGCCTCTACCCCATCCAGTGGGCTGCAGTCACTGGGGGGCTGGCGCTGCCGATGCTGCCCAGAGGATGATGTTGGCACAATCACAGTATTTGGATTCTTACCAGCCAATAGATCTTGATAAATAGCAGCCACACTTTCCAGGAACTCTGAAACAAACAGCAGGTTAGTTAAAACTCAGGGCTATAACCAGCAAAGTACCCTCCTGACCTACCGGACCTGGGATTAAACTGTCAGTCCCTGCTCTGTGTTTTAGTGTTTCACATAGCACCAATAGGAAGTAAGCACAACATTACAGCATCCTGCATATCCAGATCAGATAATTATACAGGCACAAACAGCCCTTTCCATATAAGTTGCTGGCTTCTTGTCACAATGATTATGAAAGGCCACTTACTCTGTTGAACAAGATTCTCCTCAAGGAAACAGAGGCTAGGTGGCACATGGATAAAACAGTGGAGGGAGAAAGCTAACCTTAAACACAAAACTGGTTTGCAAAGCCTAAAGAGTTCTCCTTCTCCATCTCTTGCCACTGATTAAGAACTCACCCAAGTTAGGAACAAACTATAGGGAACCGCAACAGGAGGACAGGCAGCAAGTTAGGGCTCCAGGCTGTATCCCAGCTTGTCTCTGTGCTGCTCCAAAGTAAATATAACATGGGATCTAGAGGAAGGGCCAGGGCAGGTCAGGGCTAGAGCTGGCAGCGAGCCTCTCCCCAGGCTCCTCATACTACCCACTGTTTACTGCAAGAGTCTAATTTTAAACAAGTTTGTTTATGGATGTGGTCAGCAGTTTACAAATCTAGATTCCATTTGGAGTGGTTTGCATGTGTGTGGGTTGGTGGGAGAGCGTATGACAGGCTGCGTGTGTGCGTTGTGCCTGGCCGAGCAGGACACGGACGGGATGGTTGAGCGTGTGTGTACACAAGGGAGGGCTTGTGAGGATTTCAGTGCCGAGTGAATGGAAGTGTAATGCTGTGTGTGAGGCGGCTGGGGAGGCAAGGCAGGATGTCAGCGGGCCCTCAGGCTGTGCCGAGGCTCAGCAGCGCCGTGGAAATATTTGTTTTAGCAGGGAACAACTTTCCAAACACATTTGCTGTCCCTGGCTCAAGGCGTTGCAAGCCTGGTTCTGCCCAACCCAAAATCAGTGGTTTTTGAACTCTTTTTCTTTGAGAAATCGTCATGGATAACACTGTGATATGCACAGGGGACTTACAGGGAAGTCTATTACAGACAAGTTCTGAGAAAAAGAGAGTTTTGTATTAGCTGACTCTGAACTGCTAGAAAGATGGGAACTGACAGCTTGGATCAGATCATCAGGCCACCCAAGTGTACTCTCTGACCACAGACTATGCTCCACCACAGCTTCTAGCCAGTGCCTCCCAGTAACCAAACCTGGCCCCTTCTGCCTGCTCGAGGCCAACTGTGAGCTACGTCCATCAGAGGGAGCTATTTAAGTGCGAGTGAGCAGGAATCCACGAGCTTATGCTGCTCTGTTCGGGCAAAGAAGTGGCACCCCATCAGTCCCCAGCGCTTGGGAGCATGCTTAACTTTGATGGAGAAAATGCTTCCCTCTTTTTTTTTCCCACTTAAGCAGTTCCCTCAACGAGATTCCCCTTCCTCAACCACATTTTAGCGAGCCTAGAGCAAAAAGGCCAATGTATTCCAGTATCTGAAGGGGGCCTATAAGGATGCTGGGGAGGGACTCTTCATTAGGAACTGTAGTGATAGGACAAGGGGTAACGGGTTCAAACTTAAATAGGGGAAGTTTAGATGGGATATAAGGAAGAAGTTCTTTACTGTAAGGGTGGTGAGGCACTGGAATGGGTTGCCCAGGGAGGTTGTGAATGCTCCATCCCTGGCAGGGTTCAAGGCCAGGTTGGACAGAGCCTTGGGTGACATGGTTTAGGGTGAGGTGTCCCTGCCCATGGCAGGGGGGTTGGAACTGGATGATCTTAAGGTCCTTTCCAACCCTAACAGAATAGTTTCTATTAGATTCTATAGATTCTATGATTCTATTTTAAAGCAGTCTCTCTGCATAGACCAAGCACCTGAATGCTCATCCAAGTTCCTCCCTCGTCTCATGGACTTTAGTTCAGGGGATTTTAGATGTATATGTGTGGATGAGCATATGTAAAATACACACACAGAAACTAACAGTTTGATTTATACTTCTCCTGTCAGGAATTTTAAAAGTACCCCATCTAGTTAAAACTCAAAAGGGCGGACAGGGGTAGAATATGATGAATGACCAACACTATGAGGAAGGTAGATGGGGATTATCTGTTCACCTCCCTTCCAACTAGGGGCTCTCAAAACAGACCAGAGGGACTAATGGCAGACCTGCAGCTCCTTGCCAAAAGGTGTGGAGTTTACGAGTTTATGTGATTTCAAGGGGAGGCTGGAGAAGTTCTTGGGAGAGGAGTCCACTGGGGGCTCCTAAACCCATGGAAACCATACCCAGGTCAGAAACACTGTGAGCTGAAACCAGCTCATAGTTGGGTAGGCATCAGGGGAAAGAACTGTTCGGTTCCCTTTCCTTTCAAGGCACCAGCTGGTTGGGCTTTTCTTACCGTATCTCCAGCAGGGACCAATACTCCAGAGGCAGAAATGTTGTATTAAGGAAAGGAAAAAACAAATGTTCCTAGTAAAAGTTAATAGTTAGGTGCTAACATACTGTAGATAAAGCTGGGAATTCATGTCTTAAGCCTAAGACAAAATACGTGCGTAAGTCCTAACAGTTACAGGTATCTTGTTTGTCACAAAAATTGGAACCCCCTTATGAAGCTTTCCAATCTCTTGGCATCAGTGATGCCTTTTGTCTGTAGATTCCATTCTCTATATATGTTCTGTGAAAAACCATATCCTTACAAATTTAAAAAAAGCTCAGGGCTTGGGAAGCTGTAAAGATGTAAAGCTATACTGGTGGGTGAATTCAGGAGCTTTGCAGCATTTACCTGAGTAGTAGAACTGGATCTGGAAAGCAAAGAGGAAATCGGAGAACGACATCAGGCAATCCATAGCATCATCCATCAGCACAATCCTATGACAAGATGAGAGAAACAGTTTAGCATCTACAAAAGAACTGATGTCTGTAACCAGGGACCTGAGATCTAGAGAAACTGCAGCTGAGGATTGCTACTGGCTTGGCCCAGTATAGGAGGTTAGGAGAGAGGAATGAGGGCACCCACTGCTGCATGGATGTGGACACCTTAACATCAAATGAAGGCAGTTTAAGAACTTCAGTGAAGAGAAGATCCTGAGTGTCAATGCTACCACACTGCAGCTACACTGTGAACAGAGTAGTGATGTGGATGTCAAGCATTCAAAGCCTGGTGGACATGACGGAACGAGCACAGGCATAAAAACTGCAAGGCTGGTTCACAAGGCTATACAAAGAGTAACTGTGCTGCAGACAAGACAGTTACACAGGTATTAGACTGGTGTGAGCAGAATGAGACTTATCCTATTCCTCTGTATATCAGAGTTCATCAAACTGGGATAGTTTCAGATTCATAAGGATAAAAATTAGTTCCCAAGCTATAGTCAAACAAACTCCACTTGACTGCAGAGGAAATAACATTGCCCCAACCATCAGCTTTCTAATTACACACTGTGAACATCCTATCCTCTCTTCCCAATGCATGAATCAGTCTCTTTTCCTATCATATCTATAATTTGTCTCTCAGGTCAAATTTCATGGAAACTGAAGACTTCTTGGGTCAGGGACAATGTCTTCTTTCTGCTGTGTCCTAGGTTCATGTAGGGAGCCACATGCATACTGATGTTGAATCATACTTCATGATATGAAAAGTATCATCCACAAGCTATAAAGATGACATACAATTGACAGCCAAGTCCAACTCCTTGTTTCATGAAAAAGCTCTGGATTGCAGAAGTAAGTTAGGGCAAAAACATTCATAATGCTCTGGTCATACACATGAAAAGGTCAGTCTCTGCAGAGGGAAAGAGAAGGCTTTGGTGAGACTGTGTAACAGTCTTCCAATACCTAAGGAGCCTACAAGAAATCTGGAGAGGCACTTTTTACAAGAGCATGTATTGACAGGACAAGGGGGAATGGCTTTAAACTGACAGAGGGGAGATTCAGATTAGACATTAGGAAAAAATACTTCATTATGAGACACTGGCACAGGGTGCCCAGAAAGCTGTGGCTGCCCCATCCCTGTCAGTGTTCAAGGCCAGGTTGGACACAGGGGCTTGGAGCAAGCTGTTCTAGTGGAAGGTGTCCCTGCCCATGGCAGGGGGTTGGAACTGGATGAGCTTTAAGGTCCCTTCCAACCCAAACCACTCTATAATTCCACAAAAATCAAGCTTGGGTTGACCAGTGACAGAGTGGAAAACAGAAGGAAAACACTTCACTTTGATGGGAAAAACCGTAATATTCAGACAATGCTAAAGGCAGTTGTGTGTTTTTTCAACTGTGTGCAGGTCTATTGACCCTGTACAGTCAGCATCTGGCATAGCATGTCATACAAGGACATTATAGCCAAAGAATAGGTCACCTAGTAAGATCCTTCTGAATGCCAGCCCAAACACAATTCATGGTCCAACTCCTGCAGCATCAATGTTCTAAACACATTGCTGGGGAAATGCTGTTCTGTCTCATATAAAAGACTCCAGGGAGCTGTGTGGGAGGCTGACCTAGAAGAGTCACAGGATCCTGCAAGACTTCCCTGCCACTCAGACCAGTTCTGTTCACTGTGGCAAAATCAAACATGTAGAGCAGCTTGAATTAATTATCTCAAAGAAGAAAGATTGGGGCTAAGAGGGTCCCCAGGAGAAAAGCCAGTATTTAAAACAAAACCCTTTGAAGATGTCAAAGTGCTTCTGATTTATTTATTATGTTCCAGAAGCCTCCTCTCCTCCTGTCTAAAGAAGCAGTAGCTTCAGTTCTTAATTCTCACTAATAAGCATGTTACTGAGATTGTCAGTGGCCACATCAAGGCAATGGCTTTGAAGCTGGCAGGCAGAGCATCCTCATCTCTCAGGCAATAGTACTCAGCCACTGGTGTTTCCAACCACTGTTTGAGCACTGGAAATGAGATTGGCCACGTTGCTGATGAGCTGCACTCCCTCCTTTGAAGCGATGATCTGCCTCCCAGATACCCTGAAAGCACAAGTTCTGAAGCCTTTGCCAGTGTATTTCTCCATCTTGGAGATGCAGGAGAACAAGAGTGTACTCATTTGTTATGCAGAGAGACAATATTACATCATCTTCATGTCAATCGACTCATTTTGCTTGTTAAATCTAAAGCTACGGCCAATGGCTGTGCTCTGCAGCACCAAGTCCTAGTGTTTTACTTAGAAGAGAGCAGGACGAAACAGGCAGAGGTCTGAGAATGTGCTGGACATTTCTTGCCCTTAAAGACAGCGAGGAGCCTCTAAGGAAGGCTGTACAGCACATATGTGACAGAGCAGTGTCTAAATAGAAGCAGGTGCACTCTGGTGCTGGGTTACTGACTCCACTTGGCCCAGGAGCCTGCACTCCGGAAATGTTGAGAAGTCTTTAAATCCAATACAATCATTTATGAGGAGATTGACTGCAGCTGGCTATTTCCCTACATAGCCAGCTGAGTGAGAAGTCAGGGAAGCTGGGAGAGCATCCTATATCTGCACCTCTTCCCTGAAATAGCTGGCAAGGAGAGAATCCTTACAGCCACGTACTGTGACCCAGACAGCAGGACCTGAAAGGCTGAAGTGCGACTCAAAAGAGTTCATCTGCTGATATTTCAAGGGATTCTTTATTCATTCTTTCTTGTCCAAATTAGACTATAAGCCCTTAGGGGCACAGATGTATTTACAAAGTTAGTAGTTGGCATTCAATGGATAATGAAAATCAAGCAGGAGCTTTGGAAAGGCCTGAAGAAAGATGCCTACACTTGAAGGACTCTGGTAACACGTACAGTGGTCTCCCAGGGTTGAAGTGGGTTTGGCTTGCAGGAAAGCCTTCCTGCAGTGCCAAAGAGGAAACTTTATGATCTACTGATTGCAGTTAAAATCTCAGACTAGACAGGATGTCCCCAGGACAAACTCTAGACCAGGCAAGTTGAAAGGACTTTTACTATTCTCTGCTACCATTAAAGGCTAACTGACACAATCTGTCTTAAGGCCAGACTGGCTCAAATGAGCCTTCAGGAACTTGGTTTGTTTACTGATACATGGGGGCAAAAATAGGCAAGATCATACAAAAAGGGCAAGATCTGCACCCTCAGGCAATCTTTTAGTAACAGGGCTACAGTCTTGCAAGCCCTACTTCCATTAGCACTGATCAACGCAATGTGAGCTCCCATACCACATAAAACAGCACAGCAGCTGTGAGCTACTCAGCTCTCTCTACTCCAATGTGGGCAGCAAGTTCCTTGTGTTTCTATTACAAGGGAAAAGTCAGTGCTCAGGTATAGATCTTGAAATCATGGCATCAAACCAGAAAAATCCCTTCATGTGCTGTCCATCTGAAATTTCACGATTCAGAAGCCAAAAGGTGTCTCTGAAGATCAAAGGTACCTCTGTAGATTAAGATCTTCAATCTGCTAATGGATATAACCTTTGAAGAGAAAAAAAACATTCAAGAAATCTCACAGAAACAGAAAACCTGTTTTTTTGTTTTGTTTTGTTTGGGGGGGGGAATGCCCTCTGCATTTGTGTAGCACCAAGAAGAGAAAAACAGAGTGCGCTGGTGTCATGCAAACAAAACCTGTATTGTTGTAGTCTCTGTTCTTCTGCTCTGACATTCCTAATCTTGCTCCCAGTGTTTGTTATCAGCACATAGCAACAGCTCCTGGATGAGAGAGGAGGGCACTGTGCTGTGAGATCATCTCAGTCATGCCGCACTGAGACTACAACTACTACTGCTCTCTTCCCAGACACAGTCCTGCTGTATCAGTCAATGCTGAGGCTGCTCCTGCTGCTACTTTATTTAACTCCTTTTCCAAGCAACTGAACCACTGGGAGTCTGCAGGCTGGAGAAGAACAATGTCAGTGGGTTTGCATGTGCCATTCATGCTTAGCAAGGACTCAGTCAACTGGTGCTAGAAGACAGGCTGCAGAGTTCACCTTTCTAACTGGCGGAGACCAAGGAGGACAATGGGAAGTGTAGAGCAGAAAAGGGATAAGACAGTGAGCAACAGTTGGAAGGAAAGAGAAAGATGGTTTAGAAACACAGCAAGTTTTATTATAATTCTTCAGCTAGATTAGCTTGTAACAGAATAATAGCAATGTGTGGGTGAATCTCCAGCCAGCCAAAAGCAGGAGTGAGGTCATCCCCACCTGAGCCTGGGTGCCTCTGACAGAGATCTCATTTCCCTCCAACACCTGCTCCCAAAGCCAGCTTGTCTGTCTCTACAGCACACACACAACAGTGCAGCAGGCCCCTGAATGGGGCCTCTAGTTTACAACAGCCCTGTGGATTAAATTCCTTGACACAAACATCAGAACATGTGTAGATAGGCTGAAGTCTCATGCACCATCACAAATTCCTGCTCAGCTCAGCTGGAAGCCTATGAAATACACACCAGCGCACGGGACTGGTGCTTGTGTACCTCCATGAAAGGAAGCAGCAGATATATCCCTACTACAGGGTTAGCATTCTTTTTTAGTCTGGCACTAGAGGCCAAGCAACTGTACTCTGTGGAGCCCCAAAGGCTCACTGATGAGCTAGAGGGAAGAGCAGTGCTCAACTTTTAGTTTTAATTGAACCAACGCAGCTTTAACTGCAGTTCAATTTGGACAGCAGCGCGTAGGAGCCAGGGAAGAATTCAGAGAATCAGCCAAGTGAAGTACTAGCAGATGGATAACACTTTCCTTTTTCACTTGCCTTTCTTACTATAGATTTCATGGGACTCTGATGCTAAAGAAAGGTAACAGAGTGACAAACAGAAAATGAGAACCTTTTCATTATTTAGGCTCTGAACAGCAGTAATATCCTGACCATGTGTCTGGATCCTGTTTCCAAACGTCTTACATGGGTCCCTGAAATAAGTTACATTTCCATGACCCCTCCTCTGAGGTGGCTGGGAATGACAGCATGTATTCAGTAACCCTGCTGTGATTATATATGTGTGTGTGTGTGCATATGCACTCCTACTGAGATCTGAACTGACCCCCAACCCCTACACATGCGTATACCTTAATACATTTTCACTATCAGATAGTTAATAATCAACTGCCTGGGCTGGACTGGAACCAGCAAGCACTATCAGTAAAAACTTCTGTATCACCCTATCAGTGCCCTAAGCCATCTATTTGCTTTAGGCCTTGTCTAGATTAAACTAAAATTTCAAACAGAGTAGCTACCATGTTCTTAACTAATGTACTTGAAAACACTGGCAATCCTTCAGAGGGTCCTACCTTTTCAACGTGATCAACCAGACGAAGCTGGGGTGAAGGGAAACATACTTGAAAGCTGGTAAACAGTATTTGAAATAGAGTTTAAAATCACGGCAGTTAAGAACACATTGGCTAACATTCTTTTATATGCAACTCATCTTCTGGATGCACAGCCAGCAGCAGCATTCTGCACTCTCAGTCCCTGTGTATGCTCAGTCCCCCCAGAGCATACACTCTTCCTCATTGCTAGAAAAACACCCTGTTCTTAACCTGAAAACATGGTATCTCTTTCCCCCAAAATCTTGAAAGCTGAAGGTTCCTGTTCACACCTTTACCCACAGATTTAGTTCTTAAGTCAGATCTTGCAAAGAAAGGATGAGGACCCACCTTGCTGCTTTCTGTGTGAGTTCCATTGGGAAGTCAGGGCAGAGCAGCTGCAGCAGGCAGTGGTATTCCTGTGCTGTCAGCAAATCTGCAGGAAAAGAGAGGTGAGAACATTGTCATTCTTTTACAGGCTGTTCCCTCCCCTTGCTTCCTCTCTAGGAAAAAAAAACCCACATATTCCCTTCTACTCTCAATTCAAGTAGACTAGGTACTAATGACAATATAACTGCTCCCTAGCCCCTCAGAGCTGGGCTCTTCACATGGAGTTTCCAGCAAAGACTATCAGAAAGAGGCCTGATAAAGGGGAAATCCTACTGAAGAGACTCCAGCAGAGAAACTGCGAACAGGTAGGGATTCGGTGTGAAAAAGGGGTGACCAAACCAGGGCAGTTTCAAGTGAGAACACACTTTGGTTTGTCTTGAATATAAAACCATGTGGAAAAAGGAATCATTTCAAAGTTGCTTAAATTTGCTGAAATTCACTGGCATGGTGTCATTCACCACAATCCACCCGAAAACCATCCGCAGAACATCTGGCAGCAGTAACAAAGACAAACAAGGGGTTTGGGTTGTGTATGGAAGGCTGCCGTGTATAAACCACAGACGTTATTACTTTGGCATTTGGTAAGGCAGCTGGATGGTCTCTTTTGGAATAATGTGTACAAATCTGGTCACTGTGTTATAGGAAGCACAGAAGGAAGATCCAAAAAACACAAGAAAACCAATCAAATGATTCATTTTTTAGAGAGCAACTTTGTGAAAGACTGGTACAGAAAGGCCTCTGTGGTTCAGCAGGAGTCTAAAAGAGGTGACTCTTAGCGAAGCTTATAGGATCCCAAGAGAATGGAAACATGCTGATGTCAAAAAGCCCTGCATGATTGTATGTTCACGGTCCAAAAGGCTGCGGACTGGAGTTCAGAAGACCAGCAGAACAGCAGCAATTTTGCACTACTTCTATATACAGAAGAATGCAAAGTATGGAAGAAAGAGCCAAGGGTTGAAGGAGAGCCAAGCAGTAGCCAGGAAGGGGATCCAAAGGGCACAGGCATTAGGACTGAGGTACAGAGTGTGAGTTCTTTTGGCACACACACATCTTGGCCTTCCTTAGGCTCCCATCAAAACAATCAACCTTGTCCCAGATAGAATCATGGAATCATAGAATAGTTAGGGTTGGAAAGGACCTTAAGATCATCCAGTTCCAGCCCCCCTGCCACGAACTGGGACACCTCACACTAAACCATATCACCCAAGGCTCTGCCCAACCTGGCCTTGAACACTGCCAGGGATGGAGCATTCACAACTTCACTGGGCAGCCCATTCCAGTGCCTCACGACCCTCACAGTAAAGAACTTCCTTATATCTAACCTGAACTTCACCTGTTTCAGCTTAAACCCATTGCCCCTTGTCTTGTGACTACAGTCCCTGATAAAGAGTCCCTCCCCAGCATCCTTACCTCCACAACTCCTCACAGCCTGGCAGACCAACAAAAGCGAGGGAAAAGGAAAATGGTACCCCTTTATGTGATGTTCCAAGAGGCAGGTATGCAGTATCAAAGGCACATTTCACTGCAACATCCAACCCAGCCACATTAGTATTTTCAGTGCTGGCTAAAGAAACAGTGCAGGAGGACTGTCACCAAAATTGAGTTACAAACTTTTCCTTTACCTACATTATGGGCCAGGGAAGCAGAGGAAAGAAAGGCGAGAATGACTATTTTTAGTTCAGGAAACCCTATAGCTGAATAACACTGCTGTCAGACTTTGGCATCCATTAGAGACACTCTCTAGACTACTATACTTTGGACTGCTTTTGAGTGGACTTTCCATCTAATGAAGCACCTTAGGTTTAGGGTCATGTTAGGAAAGGTGATTTTGCTCTGTCTGGAAAAGCTAAATCTGCTCTAACTCGAGGAAGTCCCAGCCTGTGCAGAACTACACCAGGGATTTGTGCAACCTATTCTACTGTAGGGATAAATGCATCAGTATCAATCTTCTTCCCGTATTTGAATGCTGAGCTGAGTTAAATTCCTGTGACTGCACTGAAATTACAGATGTCTGGGAGAATATGGAGGGCACTGTAACTTCGTATTGTCATTTCTTACTGAAACACGCATCAGAGGCTGCTCTCTATTGCAGACAGTACTTTGGTCCTTCAGTCAGTGTGTATCTGAGGCTCAGTAATGGTATCGAGTGGAACGGTGGGGTTTCCTCCTGCAGTGTGAGCTAATCAGTTCCTTGAATGTCATCAAGGAAAGTATCACCAAATGTTATGTAAAACTGCAACAGGTTATTATTAAAAAAGTCCCAGTTATGAGGAGCAGGAAGAGGCACATTTTTAATTGAATTTTCAGCTCATTGTTTCTCTTTCGTGGCACTATAGAGGAAAGAAATTTTTCTTCTATGTTATTTTCTTAGATCAACAGTCATTTATGGCAATAGAGATTTGGGCCATTAGCTAAGAAAACTCTCGGTACCTTTCTATGGAAGGTACATGCAAGTTTCATAAAATCATCTTTAACAGGTTCAGCATAAGTAGGTTACAGGAAAACAGAGAAGTTGGGCATGAAAAGGCTCTTCTGAAACAGGCACTTTCTCCTAATTGAGGAAGACAACAGCATGGACCTCTTACCACTACTCTTCAAGGATTTCTAAATGGAGCTGTGAATAATGCTGGGAATTAAAGCTCCGATCTTTGCCTAAGGAACCTACATGTTGGTCTGAAGGAGTCACAGCATTTGGAGGCTTTATGCAAAACTCAATTTACATTTCTTGTTTAAGTACAAATTCCTGTTTATGCATCCCTAAACCTCTTGTTTTCCATTATTTTTTCCTTTCATTTGTCAGCAGATGATTGTAACTCTTCATACTGCATCTTATCCAATGTATTGAACTGACAACTACAGTGAAACCTTTTTAAGTGTATTGCACCCTTCATATCCCTCCTTCCCTATCCCATTCATATCTGTTGCTCTGCTTTGATCTCCTTCAGATTTTCACAGTGTGGTGTCCAGCAGTGTACAAAGCATCCCCCGTGCATTCATAACAGACAGGCTCAAGGAGGATAATCTGCCCACTTGCAGCAGCAAAGCCAATTTTCATTAATTCTGAATCTTGGTCTCCTCTTTGCTCCCCCTGAAGGTGAAAGACTTTAAGGGTATTTTTGACGACGAGGCTTCCTGAGAAGGTTGTTCATGGCCTCTACAAGCATTACTTTTGAGGCATGGAGATCTTCCTCGCTAGAAATGACATACTCCTAAAACCTATAATAATTTACATTGTCTTTTTCCCCTCCCTCTTCATACCCAGCCAAAGCATCATCCCTATTCCTCCATCACATAACAACAAAACAACATAGAGCAAAAGCAGGAGTCTGCTCAAAAAGACTGGCAAAGGGTGGCAAAGACCCTCTCTAACCAGCACCTGAAATCACAGAATCAACCAGGTCAGAAAAGATCTTTAAGATCATCAAGTCCAACCATTACCCTAGCACTGCCAAGATCACCACTAAAACATGTCACGGAGGGATCAGAGGGTGAAGTTAAAAGCAAGTGGAATTAATTGCAGTTTCACTCTTTGAGCAAATGGTTTGTTTAGATGGGAACTGCACACAAAGCTGAAGTGGTGCAGAGAAGTCTTTTCTCTAAAGGAAGAAACCCTTTGCTTCTTTTGCCTGGAGAAACAGCACCAACTTAGTCCTTGAAGACTCTTTTAGGCCATAACGCAGCTCAGCCCCAGGCGCCTGACCGATAAATCCTATCAGTTCCTCAGACTACAGATGGGTACCTATTACACAGGAAGGGGGTTCACCACAGACCTTAGGAGGTGCCCACAGTTTGCCATGATGACTGTTTTTCTATTCCCCACTGCAAGGTCAGTGAAGACCGTGCAAAACTTTGCATTTGCCCATGCACCCTATTGCCTGCCAAGAGCTGCTTGGAATAAACAAGGGCACTTCTGGTGCACGACCACATTGCTCCTTCCTGTCTCCAGGCCACAGCTGAGTAAATAGTGTTCAACGCTGCCTGATCAAGAAAGAAAGAGAAGGAGGAAGGTACCAGTCAGAATGAGTGAAAACTGCAATCCACAACTGCTACTTTGGTTGCTACCACAAATTACCGTATCTCAAGTTCCAGTAACAAATGAAGCAAATCACGGAGAGTTTAAATCTGACCCTGCAGCACAGGGCAGGGAGCTGTATGCACTCCACCATGCTCTCGCAGTGGAACAAACTTGGTCATACCACACGCTTGAGGATGGAGAGAGATTGCAGTCTGCATGTTACCCGTGTTCATTTACAGTTGAACATAACACTTTTGCTACTGCAAAGCAAGTAATAACAAATTCCAAAGTGGTTTTAAAACAGCAGTTCACTAAGAAGAAGAAAAGTGGCATGGGTAGAGTTGTACGGGAAGTACTTTATCTGTTCATTCATATCTGTTACACAGCTCTTCAAACTCCTGCCCATCCTGTTCTGCTGCTGCTACTGTGCCACAAGCAAAATCCTGACTCTTCCCTACAAATCTTACTGTCTGTTGAGTAGCTTATAGTCTTTTAGTGCCTGAGGCAAACTTGTCCTCATGTTTCAGGCATAGTCCATAGGAAACAAACATCACTTTCTGTATAAAATGGCTTATCTTTGAAAAACATGAAGGCAACTGCTTGTATTTTCCTGACTTTTAATAAAACACATTCTGCTGTTACCAGCTTAATTTCTGGCTTATATGTGTCTGACAGATGGCACCTGACCCAAAGTGATGCAAACTCAAGGAATGTTAAATGATGTGTTTATGCTGCTCTCAGTGTTGTGAGTGAAGCACAGACACACCTGAGCTTTCTGTACACTTTCATCCTGACAGCAGCCTAGCCACAGGAGCCTGGAGCGCAGTGAAGGCTGTAAAATCTACCCAGGAAGTCAATAAATATTTAGGACTTAGCCTGAATTGCAGCCATTGCTGCTGTAGCTAGGCTGCTTTTGGCACAAGAAGCAGCTATCTACAATGCTGTCACAACACTGTGACAGCTTTAAGTATGCCCAAAGCAGTAGGAGAATATTTACTGCATTTGGTGTATGAAATCTGCCCCAAAAAGTC